GTGGCGATCGCTACGTCAGATCCCAGCCCTTCACACCAAACTCGTGACCGAAGGACTAGCCAATCTAAAACCGCGATGTCACGTGCATAACAATGCCACGCCCAGCTGCACCCTGCACAACGATTTTCCAGCTAATGGACCACAATCGATGCACTGGCAGCCTGAGCGCGATTGTTACTGGGTCAGGTTAATTACGCAACTAACCCTTCAAACTGCCACCACCTCCTTTTTGTACAGAGAAAGAGGAAACTCGGCAATATCAGCAATAACACTATGATGGTTGAAATAATCGTCTGTATACCACTGTCACCACAGGCAGGTTATACAGAGGGTTAAACACACACAGTAGCGCTCTTCAGTGGCAGGAATTCGTTGTTTGCATTAAAGGCATTAGAAACAGTTTAACACTTTCATAAAGTAAGATTTATTACTAAAAGGTCAACAGGGTGCAATAAAAAATATTTACAGAAAAAGATGTAGCCAATATATATATATATATATATATATATATATATATATACAGAGAACAATAGCACAGCAAAGAGATAACAGAAAGGAATTTAGAGGGTTAAATTACTTGCCAGCCTTGGTGTAAGCAGCTTTAAGTTTCATAAGTCAAAATGATTTATCTCCCACTGTCAGTTTCGATGTTAAGACAGAAGACTCTTCTCTTCTCTCCCTTAACTCAGCTTAGCTTTTCTAGTATCTCTACCGGGTGCCTCCCTGGAGCAGTAAACCAATCGTCTTCTTTTGGGGAGGGAGGTGTAGGTGGAGCCCTAAGTTATGACTAGAAACTCTCATATCTGCTAATATGATTCATATCTCATTCTCGGGGCATTTGGCAGTCTGGGCACTAGTATATTAATACTCAGCAGCATCTGCTGAATGGTTAAAGATGAAACATGTCATATACACTTGAATGGTTCAGGAGATATACTTTCCTGCCCTCCTATATATTCCAGCTAGGGAATGTAATTTACCAAACAGTTTGTATTAACTTAACCAATGACGATATGCCTGGTTTTTATGTAAGTCTCTCATTTTCCTAGATATGAAATCATAGGGGAAAATGGATGTTGAATGTGGTGTCTTGTTTTATGCCTTCTCTGGAATGTCTTTGAACTCCCGTGAAGGACTTGGTTTACACTTTTACGATATCCCAGATTGCACAGCTACCAGACAGGGGGGCACCTAGCTGGTGAGGTTTTATAGCCAGGATGCCCTCCAACTGGGTTTCGATGCCTTTTTGAACTCTGCATCAAACAGACCACATGTCACTCAACAGAGAGGGAGGGGATGAGGAAAGAGGGAGAGAGAGAGAGAGATAATTGTACAAGATGGACGGTCCTTTGCCAAAATGGAGGTTTGTATCCATCTCTGTGTGCACGCTTGCTACAGGGGGAGCTATACACAAAAGGTTTTTTACCTTAATACAGAGAATGCATTGAAGTAAAAAAAAAACTTCAGCCTTTAGAGGCACTTTAAGGTAAGCAGTGCAGTAATTCAAACTATAGTTCCCTTTTAAAGTGATTTAAACCCAATGCTGAAATAATATACACATGCAAGCAACATGTTGAGTTTCTTTCTCTGTCTACTGCTGTGCTTTTCTCATAATAAAATCCTCAACAACTTTGTAAAACTTGGACAATGGCCATAAAACAATTTGACCACTGAACAAACATTTAAGAATCATGACCAAACACCAATGCTGTGTCCATGTTCTCTGGGGGGATCTATCCAAGCACAGTTCATTTACGGCTCCAGTTCATACCAAATTCCTCTATGTGGATTGACACTGAAAAATATTTGAATTATTGTAAGATTTATTGCAATGTCTGTTGCAAATTAGGAATCTGCATCTTTCTAGTTCTCAGTGTTCTAAATAGTTTCAGCCATGTTCAATAACTATTCAAAAACCTGAGCTGGAGAACTTGTGAAGGAGTGCAAGGCTAATCCAGGGCAAACTGATGTTCATCACAGATTTTTGGTTAGTCAATCTACCCATCTGTGACTTGGTAAAGACATCCTTCAGGCGCCTTCCTAATGCCCTGGCACTAGGCATGGAAGGCCTATGTTCTATCTCAGAGCATGAGCAGTCATGAGCATTCATTGACCTGAATGAGAAGGCAAGACTCAAATGGATCCTGCTTTTATTGGCTGACAGAGATACACAGCCATCTGCACATTTCACTAATAAGAACTTATATATAGTTTCATCTTGGGGAAGATTTGAATTATTATTGTATTTAGTTACCAAAATGATAATTGTGTTGTTTTATACTTTTTTCTTTTTTTTGTTTAGGACATTTCCTGTGCAATGGAAATTTTGAGTGTTTTTGCCTGTTGTACAGTCATGGTTGGGTGTTAGGGGTTAGGCTTCATGCACAGACAGGGGTTTTGGGCTTAGTGGTAAGACAGAGGCTTAGTAATCCATTTTTGAGTTATGGGTTGGAATCAAATTATTTGCTTAGTTTAAAGAATACCTAAAGTCCAAACTCTTTTTTGGATAGCATTGAGAAAGGTCAAAACCACTAGTGTCCCAAGTTTCTTGTTTGAGTATTATTACCTCCTTGCTGCAGTGCTGTTCCTTATCCTTTTCACATGTGTGGTTTTGTCTGTGCTCACCTATGGGCATCATCTGCTATTCTCTGGGTTTTATTTCCTTCCCTTCCATCACTTCCTGTCCCGCCTCCTAGTTTGCTTGTCTATATAAGACATGCTCAGTCTAGCCCACTTTGCCTGAGCAACTTCTTCATTCTTTGAGCTCCTGTCTATTGCTACTCCTATATCTGACTACCTGTGTACCAACCCCAGCTTCGTCCACTGACTGTGCTTGATTTCCACCCGTCCTGACATCGGCTTGTCTATTGGATTTCCTGTTGTCTCCTGCCATTATACTTTGCTCACGTGAATGGTCTCCACATCCTCAGCTGGGCGTACCTGGGGGCCGCGACCTAGTTCTAGCTTGCTGCAAGTCAATCCCCACCATCAGGGGCTCTGGTGAAGCAGCAGACTGGGGCTTAGACTCCACACCCTGGTGAACCCTAAGCTGCCGATCTACAAGGGCTCACTACCACAGGCGCTTGACAACTATCTTTTTTTCCTTGCAATCTCTGTCTAATTAAGGAGATTTCCTATCACTTCCTGTCCTGAAGCATCAACAGGAAGTGAGAAGTTAACTTTTCAATTTGATAAAGGTCCCCTTTTTAGACAGTTGTCACAGGAACAAGTGACCTCATTGGAGGATTTCTTTTCTATTCCTGTTCTAGTGGAAACTCAACATTTTGGATTTACTTTCACTTTCTTTTCCAGTGACATTGGTAATTAGGACAGTTAGAGAGGGTGAGATTCCCAAATCTGGGGTTCTAAACCCAATCTCAGCGTTCAATCCCAATCTAAAAAATAAAAAAATGTTGCCTTTAACTATACTTAATGTAGTTCCCTTGTCACTTCCTGTGAGCTGCACTGAAGACAGCAAAAACAATGTTATCTTTCTTATGTAAACTAATATTGAATCCGTCACTTTATAATGATAAGCAAAGGAGGATATATTAGTAGTCCAGCCTAGGTGGCAACCATGGTCAACTCCATAGATACAGAGGAGGAGTGAAAGTAGCCACCCCAGAACAGGAAATTTGATATTTGCAGGATTATCAGGTAAAAATAAAGGGAGAAAAATGTGAAAAAAAGAAAACAAATGCAGCCATCACATATAGAAATTGGCAAGCTGCAACATATCACATTTTTGTATTGGGGCTTAGAAACACTTTAAGCCAGATGGCCAGATTTTCAAAACAATCTATCTAATTTTTAATGAAATAAAAGAAGCATTCAAAGAGTGTCTCTCCAAACAGTACATAAGGTCAAATTGTACTAACAGTGGGAGGGACCTAACCCCTTACAGTGTTACTAAACTCACAACAGTAAAATCAGTCTGTATATGCAGTAAAGCATACTTGGTATACTCACTGTGGAACCTAAGGGGTTGTGCCCCCCTTATCTCCTGACAAGACACATGGTGTGGAGTCACTCTGCACATGCTCAGATTAGTGTGTATTGCTTTTTTTCTTGGGAGAGTGCATGTGATCAGCACAAATCCAATCAGCACTGTCCAGACAGAGGGTCAGAGGTTCTGCAGTCCTCCTATAAGCTTTAACAAGTGATCAGCTGGACACTGATCGAAGTCACAAGACTGCTCTAACTTCTGATGAGAAAAGATATTTAGCAGTTTATATTTACTAAAATAATTGCATATCCATGTTCTGTGTATTGTGGGAGACCAGATATAGTGAATGCAGGGTCCAAGGAGACCGGATATAGTGAATGCAGGGTCCGGGAAACCAGATATAGTGAATGCAGGGTCCTGGGAGACCAGATATAGTGAATGCAGGGTCCGGGGAGACCAGATATAGTGAATGCAGGGTCCGGGGAAACCGGATATAGTGAATGCAGGGTCCTGGGAAACCAGATATAGCGAATGCAGGGTCCAGGGAGACAAGATATAGTGAATGCAGGGTCCGGGGAGACCAGATATAGTGAATGCAGGGTCCAAGGAGACCAGATATAGTGAATGCAGGGTCCTGGAAGACCAGATATAGTGAATGCAGGGTCCTGGGAGACCAGATATAGTGAATGCAGGGTCAAAGGAGACCGTATATAGTGAAATCAGGGACCTGGGAGACTAAATATTGTGAATGCAGGCTCCTGGGTTTAGTAACACTTTAATACTGCCTAAAACATATGTACAGTGGCAAAAGAGTGAGCTTTATGGCGCCACACATACGCATCTCTTGGTGGCCAATGTTTAGGTCTTGAGAGTACACTCATTGCACAATCTCAGCACAAAAACTGAGCTGTCAAAGGGGGTAAAGATCGGTAGTGGAACCACCTTCCAAACATGTGATCACTGTCGTCACACAATCGCCAATCATTCCCACCCCCGGATGTTCTGAACTATTTAACCTCCCTGGCAGTATTCCTGAGTGTAGTTCGGGGTAAAGTTTCAGTACCAAAAGCGGTAACCCCGAGCTACACTCGGGCTTACCATGCGGTGTAGCTCAGGGATTCCCTGCAGCGCTTACCTTGTCCTTTGCTCCCGCAATGCGTCCCCTGCAGTGTCCCGGCCATCTCCTCGGGCCGATGCCGGCATCCGGCTTCCGTGTTCTGGTCCCTGCGAGCGTCGGGACGTACGGGGGCTGGAACAGCGACAAATTTAAACATTTTTTGAAACTGTCATTTTCTTAGAAATGAATTTGACATAGTAAAACATTACTGTATCAAACCATTTCACATACATTTTGTCCTGTGCCCTGCCTGCATTTTTACTGTTCTTTCTGCCTGGAAACTGAGAAACGTCCATGGCGTCCAAAAAGCGTCCCTTTTGGTCAAAAGCGGTTTTAGACCGGCTAGAGAAACAGTAGTAAATCAGAACCACTTGCAGAATTGAGTGATAATAATTCGTGGGGGAAATTCATCATCAGACACTGAAAACTATTTTGCGACTTTGCTCAGTGATGTGCGAATTTGGCGCTCTATTTCAAATTTCAGTGTTTTTGGTTTGATTATATTATGGAATTAAATGTATTATTATTATATTATTATTTTTATGATTATTTATTAAATTATAATTTATGATTTTGTGTTTCAAATTTTATCATACCCGGGATGTTAATAGACTCTTGTTCGGACAGATTTCGGTGAGTTATTCTTAAAAATTACATCCTACAAAAAAAAAAATACATATTTCCATGCAAAAAAATGGTACCGCTTTCAGCACAGAAATATGGATATAATCATACCGTCAAGAAGGTTAAAGAGACGTCAGGGTAGGTGGCAAGGGGTTAAAGAGATACGGTTAAATAAAACCTAAGCCCACTCTTCTCTGGGCCAGGAGTACAGGGGTAAGGAGTTGGTAACACACATTGTCCAGGGACAAGATGTAAATAATGCATGGAGTGAAGAGGTCAAAAGTAAGTGAAGTGAGTGCCTCCCAAGCAAAATGTTGAAAGGCAGATTGTGCTGTAGGCCATGATAGAATCTCTGTTGGAGAATCAGGGGCAAATCTGGGGACACATTTTTCCTGGGGCCTTAAATCAGGGACTGTCGCCAGAAACCAGAGACATCTGGCTACCCTAACTTTAAGGTGTTTTGATATAATAACTGCCATGTCTATATATCATATAAGCATCAGTATCAAATACATATAGGTGTCAGCAACAAATATTTCTTCAAAGAAGTATCTAGTACCAAAAAGTTCATATACGGATATTCCCATGCCAAAATCAATTATGCCAGTTATTGGAAGCAAACAATTAAGCGTCCCGCCAACTGTCCTCCACAGACAGTTCATCCAGCTGAACTCAGGAACTGTTGCCTGACCTGGTTCTAAGACGCTAACGTGATGTGAATTCTCTACACTTATTCAGATTGAGTCTACGTGCGGCTATGGTAGGACTAGTCAAAATAAACAATTGAAGGGTTCAGCAACACTACCTGCTGTGAGGTCTGCACAGATCAATATGGGACTTTCTTTGAGCTGCTGGACTTTCCAGCCAAACACAACAGAAGATAAACACAATCCGGGCTAAACTAATAATTGTACGATAAAAGCACAAAACAAACTGAATGCTGGCCACATAATCGACAGGCTTCATGCAATGAATGAACACATTCATTGACAGCAGACACTAACTCAAAGAAGCTCTGGAAAGCCGTCATGAACATTAAAGGTACCCTGTCGCCAGGCCATTTATTTGAAAAAATATTATATGTGCTTTTAACATATTTTATGCATGTTGTTAACCTGTAAAAGCCTCCCTTGTGTATACATCCAAAAGTCCTAAAAGTGTTCCTAGGCACCGCCATCTTGGATATGATTTCAGCAGTCTCATGGCTATCACTCAAATGTCACTATAGTATTGCCCTTTACTCCTTTCCTGGTGGCTACATAAAACGATAGGTAGGGAAGTAAGGTGGAGGAGCTGTGGCAGCACAGACTGCAATGAGACACTACTAGATGAGGAGAGGGGGGCTATGATGTGCAAGGAGAGAGGGGGCCATGTAGGAAATTAACCACTTCAAGTCCGGACACTTTTACCCCCTTCCTGTCCAGGCCAATTTTCAGCTTTCAGTGCTGTCACACTTTGAATGACAATTGCGCTGTCATTCAACACTCTACTCATATGAATTTTTTAGCATTTTCTTGACACAGATAAAGCTTTATTTTGGTGGTATTTATCAGGAAGACTTTCCTGATAAATGAAAGAGATCAGATAAATAAAAAAGACAGAGTCGCTATTTTTTTTAGTAAAAAGGTGACTAAGAAGTTTGATAGCAACAATGTACCCTTTATCACAAATTATAACATGCAATATAGAAAGATTGAAAGTATTTTCAAAAAATATTGGCCAATTCTATTAAAAGATGAAGTATTGAAGCACATTTTACCTGTAAAACCTTGTTTTGTTTATAGAAAGAATAAATCTTTAAGATTGAGTTTAGCCCATAATGTGATCGATCCTCCTAAAAGGGTCAATTTTTTTCCAAACTTGAGAGGGTTTTTTCATTGTAACAAATGTAAGGTATGTAGAACAGTAAAATCTGAATCGAGAATAAAAAGAAAAGCCTTTAACGCCAAGTCTATATCAAGTCTTTAATAACATGTAATTCTACACATGTTGTGTATGCTTTAGAATGTCCATGTCATCTTCAATACATCGGAAGAACGAGTAGATGTTTAAAAACAAGAATAGGAGAACACATAGGGAATATAAAAAAAGGGTTTTGAGAAACATAGTGTCTCAAAGCACTTTAAACTTGTACATAATTGTGATCCTAGGTTGTTAACCTTTTATGGGATAGAGGTGGTAAAGTCCCACTGGAGAGGGACTGATTTTATCAATGAAATTTCAAAAAAAGAAACATATTGGATTTATGAGCTAAATTCCCTGAAACCACATGGTTTAAATATTGATAGCGATCTAAATTGTTTTCTCACAAATTTTTAGTTTCCCCTTTTTATATTGTTTTTATATTCTGTATTATGCTACTTTGGAGCTGGAGTATATATATATATATATATATATATATATATATATATATACATGTTATTGATTTCAGTATTTTTTTGCAAGTTTTGTAGTTTTTTATTTAAACATTTTTTTGTTTGGAATCCCTCCTTAGCCTGGAGGTTATGGTCCCTTTAAGGGGATAAATATGAATTGCTTTACTATAATATCTATTTAAACAGTGAGGAGTCCTCCTTTTATTGGGGAGGTATGTCCCTTTAAGATTTACTAGATGTTTAGCATGTTTAATATTCTGTTGTTGAGATGTGGATATACAGTGGGGATCGAACGTTTGGGCACCCCAGCTAAAAATTTGTATTAATGTGCATAAAGAAGCCAAGGAAAGATGGAAAAATCTCCAAAAGGCATCAAATTACAGATTAGACATTCTTATAATATGTCAACAAAAGTTAGATTTTATTTCCATCATTTACACTTTCAAAATAACAGAAAACAAAAAAATGGCGTCTGCAAAAGTTTGGGCACCCTGCAGAGTTAATATCTTGTACTGCCCTCTTTGGCAAGTATCACAGCTTGTAAACGCTTTTTGTAGCCAGCCAAGAGTCTTTCAATTCTTGTTTGAGGTATCTTTGCCCATTCTTCCTTACAAAAGTCTTCCAGTTCTTTGAGATTTCTGGGCTGTCTGTCACGCACTGCTCTTTTAAGATCTATCCATAGATTTTCAATTATGTTGAGGTCAGGAGATTGTGAAGGCCATGGCAAAACCTTCAGTTTACGCCTCTTGATGTAATCCCCCGTGGATTTCGAGGTGTGTTTAGGATCATTATCCATTTGTAGAAGCCATCCTCTCTTTAACTTCAGCTTTTTCACAGATGGCATCAAGTTACCATCCAAAATTTGCTGAAATTTTATTGAATCCATTTTTCCTTCTACTCGTGAGATGTTCCCTGTGCCACTGGCTGCAACACAACCCCAAAGCATGATTGATCCAACCCCATGCTTAACAGTTGGACAGAGGTTCCATCTTTCCTTGGCTTCTTTATGCACATTAATACAAATTTTTAGCTGGGGTGCCCAAACTTTCGATCCCCACTGTATATATGTTGTTACTCCTGCCTCCAAAGTATATTTGGTTTTTGCCATTTTTTAAGTATCTGTTTAGTATGGAGACCTGTCATTGGCGTTTTCATACACGCGATTGTGAATTATTGTCAGCTGGCGTAAGTTTAATGCATTGCCTATATAATGAGTTTAGGACGTCTCACACTCATCCGCTCCGTGAGGACGTCAAATGACAAAACGCGTAGGGCGTGGTTTGAGTGTGGTTTCAGCGCGCTCCTAACATTGCAAGAGCGCATATGTTTTGTGGCTGGGTCCATTCCTTGGCTTCTGTTTGTGCTGAATATGCTGGTGTCGGTTGGACACCGTTTTTTGTAAGTGTGTTTTTGTTATTAAAACAGTGTTTTTTAAGAAGTACTGCACCATGAGCTTCTTTTTTTATATTCCGAGTGGTCATTCCAATACCTCCTTAAACAAGATGGGATGTAATTAAAGTGGATCTTCAGAGTCTCCTGCAGAGTATTGATCTAGGAAATCATCTCTTCCAAGCCTTAGCTGTGTCTCAACTGTCTGCAGATCGTTGCTCCCAGAGCAAAAAAGCACTTATGCTGGTTTATAATATACCGGTAATCAGCATATTGCTCTGGTGAGTTTATTCAGTTCATTTGGTGGTGGATTCACTTGGTGGATTTTATTTCAAAAAGGAATTTTTTTGCATTTTTATTTTTTTACTACCTCATATTTTTTGGGGGCTTTTAATATTGATTTATATTTTGGGACTTTAATTTATATTTTTTTTTTTTCTGAGATTGATATGTTTTAAAAAAAAAAAAAAATTTTTGTGTTTATGTTATCGTATATATTGTGTTTTTGACCTGTTACTAGCGCAGTCTTATTTATTCACAAATAAATAATATTTCATCATAAATCTTGGCCGAAATTTATTCCGTTATCTTTTTAGTAAAAAAAAAACCCAAATTAGTTTATAACCAAAACGTATCATTTTTAAACATTTTTTTTTTACATTTTTATTTTATTCTTTTTATATTATTATTTATGTTTTTTTTTTTTACATACTGTCACCCTAGCAGTACAGTGTCACCATAGTGACTCTGTACTACTTGTGGGGGGTGATGAAGATTTTTTTTTTTTTTTTTACACTGATTGCTTTTACACCCATAAAGGCTGTAAAAGCAATAATTTCTCCTTCTCTCTGGCTGCATTCTTGCAGCCATTGAGAACTACTGTGTGAGCTGTGATTGGTCACAGCTTGTCACATGGTACAAGGCTGCTATGAATAGCCTTGTACCATGTGACCTCTGTGATCATTCACAGATTTCACACGTAGTAAGCAATGATGTCAGAAGTGGCATCTTGCTTACATCCATTCATGTGATCACTGATTGGCCAATCAGTGATCACATGATCGGGACCTCACACAGAGGTTCTGTACAGCAATCGGTGTTCTGCGCGCTCCCAGGGAGTGCGCACAATCCAAAATGGCGGGCGCCATTTATGAATGGCAACCCACCCCTGCACTTCCAGCGTCTGGCCGTTTATGTACATGGGCCGGAAGAGGTTAATGATATGGTTAAGGTTCCGCAGGGGGATATCGGTGTTTGTTTGGAGTCTTCGAAGACCAACAACTTCTGCATGTTTCTGTTTAAAGGAATGTTTTGGTGTTATTGAAGTTGAATTGTTAATAAAAGGCCGTGATGGCCATTTTACTCCAACTGTGTTTTTGGTCTTCTTTATTGGTAAGTATAAGGGGGGGTATATTGAGGTGTAAGGGTCTTAACTAGCATATCTCTTTCACACTGGTCATGTATTGGAAAACGGTAAAAAACGCATTAAAATATGCACCGGAACGCACATGTTCCTATTTGAATTGAAGAAAAAGAGGGAGAAAAAATGAACCAGAAAGCATCATAAATGCATCAAAAACGCACCGGAATGTACCAAAAACACATCAAAAACATGCATGCAGAAGACCCTTACACCTCAATATACCCCCTCTTATACTTACTAATAAAGAAGACCAAAAACACTGTTGGAGTAAAATGGCCATCACGGCCTTTTATTAACAATTCAACTTCAATAACACCTTAAAACAGAAACATGCAGAAGTTGTTGGTCTTCGAAGACCCCAAACAAACACCGATATCCCCCTGGGGAACCTTAACCATATTATTAACCACTTCCCATCCGGCCCATGTATATAAATGGCCAGACACTGGAAGTGCAGGGGCGGGTTGCCATTCATAAATGGCGCCCGCCATTTTGGATTGTGCGCACTCCCTGGGAGCGCGCGGAACACCAATTGCTGTACAGGACCTCTGTGTGAGGTCCCGATCATGTGATCACTGATTGGCCAATCAGTGATCATATGAATAGGTGTAAGCAAGATGCCACTTCTGACATCATTGCTTACTACCTGTGAAATCTATAAATGATCACAGAGGTCACATGGTACAAGGCTATTCACAACAGCCTTGTACCATGTGACAAGCTGTGACCAATCACAGCTCACACAGTATTTCTCAATTGCTGCAATAATGCAGCCAGAGAGGAGAAATGATTGCTTTTACAGCCTTTATGGGTGTGAAAGCAATCAGTGTAAAAAAAAAAATCTTCATCACCCCCCACAAGTAGTAGTGTCACAATGGTGGCTAGGGTGACAGAATGGTAAAACAAACCCCATAAATAATATAAAAAAATAAAATAAAAATGTAAAACTTTTTTTTTAATTATAATATTTGGTTATAAACTAATTTGGGTTATTTTTTTACTAAAAAGATAACTGAATAAATTTTGACCAAGGTTTATGAAGAAAGATTATTTATTTGCAAAATTTTATAAGAAAAACACTTTTTTAAAAACAATTTTGGACATTTTCATTTATATAGCAAAAAAAAATAAAAAATCCCAGTGGTGAATAAATACCACCAAAATAAAGCTTTATCTGTCTCAAAAAAATGCTAAAAAAATCATATGGGTACAGTGTTGCATGACTGCGCAATTGTCATTCAAAGTGTGATAGCACTGAAAGCTGAAAATTGGCCTGGGCAGGAAGGGGGTAAAAGTGTCCGGACTTGAAGTGGTTAATACTAGAGCTCCAGCAGCAATGTACCGGCACGGAGAGAAACCACACCATCCGCAGTGCAGAATCTCCACCTTCCAGTTAACCACTTGAGCTCCTGAGGATTTACCCCCCTTAATGACCAGGCCTCTTTTTGCTACTCGGCGCTGCACTAATTCAACTGATAATTGCGCAGTCATGCAATGCTGCACCCAAACGAAATTTACGTCCTTTTTTTCACACAAATAGAGCTTTCTTTCGGTGTAATTTGATCACCTGTGCGCTTTTTATTTTTCACGCTATAAACAAAAAAAGGCCAAAAATTTTGAAGAAAAACAATATTTTTTATTTTCTGCTATAAAAAATATATAGTAAACTCAAAGTTGGTTATAAATTTTGCCCAAAATGTATTCTGCTACATGTTTTTGGTAAAAAAAAATCCCAATAAGTGTATATTGATTGCTTTGTGTGGAAGTTATAGCGTCTACAATCTATGGTATAAATACTGCAATTTACGCCATTTTTCTGCTATACAGCGCTGCGCTAGTTTAACGGACAATTGCGCGGTCATGCAATACGGTACATAAATGAAATTTACATCTTTTTTTTCCCCACAAATTGAGCTTTCTTTTGGTGGTATTTGATTGCCTGTGCGGTTTTTATTTTTTGCACTATAAAAAAAAAGGCTGACAATTTTGAGGGAAAAAAAAACAATATTTTGGACTTTTTGCTATAAAAGTAAATAGCATAGTCCAGTCCAATAGTCCAGTAAAAAAAAAATGCAAAAATCAAATTTAGTCATAAATTTCTGCCAAAATGCATTCTGTGACATGTCTTTGCTAAAAAAAACCCAATACGTGTAAATTAATTGGTTTACGTGAAAGTTATAGCGTTTACAAATGGCGGGAAAGATACTGGGATTTTAAATTTTTATTTTATACTAATAATGGCGCCGATCAGCGACATATAGCGGCAATCAGCGACATATGGCGGCGACTAGCGACTTATGGCGGGACTGCGGCGGACATTTTGACACTGGGGGGGGAACTGACTTGGGGTCACTGTCATCCCCAGTGACACCAATACAGTGATCAGTGAAAAAAACCACTGAAACTGTACTAATGTCACTGGGGAGGAAGGGGTTAACATTTTTAGAATTTGCTGTGTAAGGGGAGTGTTTTACTAGGGGGCGGGGGTGTGTACTGGACGGGGGGAGGGAGGGGGGAGCTGATCGAGGGAGAGAAACTCTTCTCTCCCTCTGCAGCTTGTTGGCGAACTGTCACAGAGCAGGCTGTGTGTAAACAATGCATCCCTGCTCTGTGTCAGTGATTACCGCTCATCGCGGGAAAAACGGCCGGTAAAAAACCGGCAGTGACCCGGCGGTGGAGACCCGCTGCTGACACCCGCTGCTCATACCCGCTGCTGACATCCGCGGGACAGGCAGGGCGGGCGCGCGCCCCCCCCCCATACCTGTTTTGAAGGCAGCCGTTTTAAAATGTGCTTTTGCCTACGAGCGCCACCCTGCCACCGTTTATATGCGGTGGCTGGGCGGCATGTGGTTAAACCTCGGTTAACCGTAATGCACCCAGGCACACCATATCACCGATGGGTCCCAACCAAGGGCGGACTGACCATTTGAAAACTCGGGCAGTGCCTGAGGGCCCGGGGTCAGTAGGGGGCCCCATGAGATGCCCCTGGTACCTTTTTCATAGGCTTTTTTGAGTTTGGTCAAGGACACAGGGGCCCCATGATCTCCTATTGCCCAGGGGCCCCATGAGTTGTCAGTCCGCCCCTGGTCCCAACCATTCACTGTAGCTTAAAAGTATGTGCCACCTCCAAAGACCAACAACTGCCCCCAGAGTTAGAATAAACTGAGCAAACCAAAACAAACCCAAGGGAGGGTGGGATGGAAGCTTGCTCCACCGCTGCCACTCCTGCACCAGAATTGTCCGACCACTCCCCAAGTGTCGAAGACCCACCCTGCACACCATCAAAAATCAGGTAACCTACATGTTCCCCTGCATCCTACCTTTTACTTAACCCTTTCCTGTCTTTCCTGTCCCTCTTCACCTAGTCTGGAACTGCAAGCACCGATGTGAACTATGACATTGACAACCATATAACCTACTTTCTGTGCATTTTGGATGCAGAAAAAAAGCAACTGAAACACATGTACTGTGAACTGACCCTACAGCAAAATGATTGTGTAGCAATGCAAAGCAGTAAGCAGGGGTGGACTGACAACTCATGGGGCCCCCAGGCAACAGGGGATCATGGGGCCCCTGTGTCCTTGCCCAAACTCAAAAAAGCCTATGAAAAAGGTACCAGGGGCATCTCATGGGGCCCCCTACTGACCCTGGGCCCTCTGGCAGTGCCAAATGTTACATACTGTATGCAGGCTGTACTTACTGCCAAATGGTCAGTCCCCCCCTGGCAGTAAGTACAGCCTACATACAGTATGTAATTAGAAAACAAGGTTTCCTCATATAGTCTCCCTCCATGTGAATTCAAAGAAAACATGACATACTAACACAGTATTTAAAACAGTAAAGAACATAAAAATATTAAGCTTTTTTTTTTTTTTTTTTACATGTATACCCAAAAGGAAAATGAAAAGACCAGGCATTCCCATCAACAAATATTTGCTTTATGTAAGACTGTGTGATGGACTGAATGTTATCTCCATAATCTGATCTCTTCTCACTGGGCTAGGTGTGAATGCAGGACCCCCAGTTACATCAGTCATCATGATGTCAGCACCTCCGGGCACACCTCCAGAGACAGGTTGGAAGCTTGAGAAGATTTTCCCAACACGGCAGCTACAAAGACACATATAGCCTATGGAAATGATGAGATCTTCACTTACATATGATGAGATAATGGGAGGAAATTGCCTTTCTAATATGATATATCTATTACAACTTCTAATATATTATGGTCACTGTATGTTCATACATGTAGCAACACTTGCCACCATTCTGAAAAGTGATCTATGGTAAATCGCATTTCAGAGATGTTTGACAGGCGGGGGAGGTGGCCTCCTTACCTTCTGTTTTAACCCTTTAAATGCAGCACTGCTGTGCTGAAACCGTACGCATTACACGCAGATTCAGGGTGGTTGCAGAGGGCGCCATACACTTAGGCTTCATTCACACTTGTGCGACTTCCAGTGCGACTTTTAATGCGACTTTGATGTGACTTTACACTCTCTGGCACTCAAACAGCATCAATGTAGCGCAAGAAGCATTTTAAAGACCTTGGGACTTTAAAGGATAAGTTCACCTTTGGGAACATGTTACATGTTCCACTCGTTTTTAGGGTGAAACATGTGACAAGTTCCCATAGCCGCAGCCTCCCTCCCTTCTCCCCGTACTATCTGTCAAATTTAAAAACAGTGCTGCCCTGCGGGGCTCTGCCCGTGCGGCCGAATCATTCATTCACTGAGTTCCATGAATGATTGAACTGCAAGTCTTGGCAGCTGTGGGCTTGTAGTTTTCAATGAACTACCACAGTGCTGTGGAGCGCCATGATAGTTATTGAAGCTTCTTGGCAGTATATCTGCTTAGCCGTACATCCCGTACATCCCGTACATCCCGTACATCCCGTATGGCAAGCATAGATTCTGACAGGTCTGAAGGAGACCTGCATGGCACCCGCAATCTACTGATCACTGATGCAGTGCTTTCCAGGCTCCTGTAGACAAAAATAATACATGCACATTTTTTTACCTGCAAAAAAATCTGCATGTATTATTTTTGTCTAAAAGGTGAACTTATCCTTTAAGTCACATACTGTAGATCGGAATGGAAGCCATTGAAAACAATGGGCTGAGACTTGGCATGTAACTTTATGTGTGCAAAGTTGTCACACAAGTGTGACCGGAGCCTTAAATGGGTCACATTTGATGGCAGTACTGTCCTCCGAATGTAACATGCTGTACAATTTTTTTCTACAGCCATGATGCTTTGCTTTTCACATGTGTACACCCGTAACTGTCTGCATGTCCTTCTTTAGGGAATTGGTAAAACCACGGCTCAGTTCCTGCTTATACTGCCTCCTGGCAGTACCGAAACCAGAACAGCACCCCCCTCCCCCACTGTTAATATATGCCAAAAAATGGGTGTACTGCCTGGCATCCATTTTTTGCCCCCTTGCTTCACTGCACCCGTGGCAACTGCCCTCCTGCCCAACCCTTGTCCCAGCCCTGCCTCCCTGGCCACCCATGGGAATGAGTCCTTAAAGTTCTAAGGCTTCTGCCCTGGTTCCCATATATGCGGCCGTGCAGGCCATTCATTCCATGACACTTCTTCTGAAGAAGTGCATCCCGCATGGGAACTTCTGTGCATCCAGTATGGTTGCATTTTCCAGTAGCGGCATTAGAAGTAATGGCACCCACCCATGGGTCCACATTTCTCTGTGGTGGTGGTGGTGCGTCTGCACGTATTTTCATGCTGATCCACAGCGGCACCACCCGCACATATGTGAACCTAGTCTCAGGATGGAAAGAAGACATCTGATAGAGTTGGGAAGGTTTTTAACCTTCATCGGGTTTTTATGCTGTATTTCCTCTTACTTTCTGACCAGGTGACAGTTTTCAGATAGAAAGGAAAGTCTCTTCTCTGGGAACCCAGACAGCTTACACTTATTTGACTGCACACTGTGGGCTTTAAACAGTGTTCATTAGAAGTTGCACAAAGTCAGATAAAGCTCGCCTCATTTCCTGGCTGGAGGATGTTGAGCATCAACTTGCCCTTTCCACCCCAGCCTGGCTGTCCCTAACCCACCTTTTCATTCACCGGATTCCAATACCTTCAACCATGGAAGTTCAGCAGCACATATGACTATTAGTTATGCAAATGCAGCCTGTCCTAGGGATGCCCACTCCTCCAGACTGACATCCACCCATTAAATAACCTGCTGCTTCTCCTTTCACTGTACAGTCACAAGCTAGGGAAGGACCAAAACGGATAAATGTTACCTAAAAGCAGCAGAGAAAAATCAGATTTCCTGCCCTAACAGACAGGACTCAGCAGTGTGACGGACCTTTGTAAATCTCAAAACTGGATGGACAGAAATACAAATCCTTTGGGAGGTTAAACAGTTCCCATATATGTAGTTTACCTGTTTAACTGTTTGCCCGGAGTCCACAAAACAATATCATTATCACCTTGCCCTCTAGAAGATTTACCCCTGTTCATGACCAGGTAATTTTTTGCTATACGGCGCTGCGCTACTTTAACTGACCACTGCGCGGTCATTCAACACTATACCCAAATTAAATTTATGTATTATTTTTTTGCACAAATAGAGCTTTCTTTTGGTAGTATTTGATCACCACTGTGTTTTTTTTTTTATGCTATAAACAAAAAAAGACAGAAATTTTGGAACAAAAAACCCCCCACTATTTTTTACTTTTTGCTATAAAACATATCTGATAAAAAAAAAAATGTAAATAAAATTTTTTAACATAAAGTTCTGCTACATGTCTTTGGTAAAAAAAAAAAATCCCAATAAGTGTATATTAATTGGGTTGCGTGAAAATTATAACGTCTACAAGTGACGGTATATATACTGGAATTAATTTTTTTCTTTCCAGTAATGTCAGGACTGTGATAGTACGGTGTGCATTCTGACACTGGTTAACTGACACTGACATGACCAGTGACACTAATACAGTGATCAGTGCTAACAAAAAATGCACAGACACTGTCAGGGGTGGACTGACAACTCACGGGGCCCCAGGGCAATAGGGGATCATGGGGCCCCTGTGTCCTTGCCCACACTCAAAGCACACCCAAAAAAGCCTATAAAAGGTACCAGGGGCATTCATGCGGCCCCCTACTGACCCTGGGCCCTCGGGCAGTGCCCAAGTGCTCGAATTGGTCAGTCCGCCCCTAGGAGACTGTACTAATGACATAGTTCCATAGTTAGTCTAGCTGAAAAAAGACAAAAGTCCATCCAGTTCAACCATTAAAAAAAAAAGTTATAATCTTATACCCCCAGTTGATCCAGAAGAAGGCAAAAAACCCCAGCAAAGCACGATCCAATTTGCTCCTGCTGGGAAAACAATTCCTTCCTGATCCCCCGAGAGGCAATCGGATATTCCCTGGATCAACTTTACCTATAAATGTTAGTATCCAGTTACAGTATATTCTATGTATCCAAGAAAGAATCCAGACCTTTTTTAATGCAATCCACTAGGCTGACCAGAGCCAACTCTTGAGGGAGTCTATTCCACATTTTCACAGCTCTCAAACCTTTCCATGTTTGGAGATTAAATTTCTGTTCCTCCAGACGTAAACCGGGGAGGAAGGGGTTAACATCTGGGGCAATCAAAGGAATGACTGTGTGCCTAACTATATGTGATGTGTGCAATATGTGCTGTTTTACTAGGGGATGTGACTGCTTTGCAGGGAGACAAAAACCGGCAGATCCCCGCTGTCAGTAGAGAGATCTGTGTTGTTTACCAACACAGATCTCTCTCCTGTCACTATCTCCAATGAATCATTGGCTGGAACTCGCAGGTCGGTATGTCAGGGAGCCAATGACAGCACGGTTAGGCTGACATGTGGGCCCCCTACCCAGAAAAGCAAAATCATGTATATATACATGATATTGCACAGCCGGCCCGCACTGTAGCAGTAAAGCTACAGTACATGGTCAGCAAGCAGTTAATCTCCAAAAATAATCCACACACATCTTCTACTTAATGGCCCTGTAATCTATTTTTCATTAAATCGGTTCTTCCTGTGTTTTCCTGCCTCCTTGTAACGTCTTTCATTAACTCCCAAACATCTCCTTTTCCTCCCTCACTTCTGTTTGTTTGGAAAGAGTAGTCCACATTAGTTGTAGTCATGTGCACTGCTCTATACACAATACAAGTCCCTTGTCCCTAGTCCAGCAAGAGAGGGTGGCTAGGATCTTACATAAACTGGGAACATGGAGAACTAACACAGCCACCTTCTAACAGGAAGTCAGATCACAGCAGCACAAAAAAAATAATTTGGAGATTTAGGGAAGATGGAGAGCAATAGAAGTGACTTTTCTAAGTTAAAAATACATACTTATTTTATTTATTTATTACAGGTACTTGAATAGCTATGTCAATGTACACAGCACTTCACATATATATTTGTACAGTCACATCAGTCCCTGCCCTCAAGGTCTTACAATTTAAGGTCATAACCAAAAAGGTCAAGTATCTGGCTGCTCGTCCCTATAT